TTCTTCTTCTTCTTCTTCTTCTTCTTCTTCTTCTTCTTCTTCTTCTTCTTCTTATTATTATTACCGATTTGTTCATTTTTCAATAAATAATTTCTTCTATCTCCATCCCACGACAACCACAGCGACACGCTGGAGCCCAGTGGCGTCAGGTTCGTCTACCGCGACAACAACAGCTTCAGCAACGACGTCGAGCCAGAGTTCGTGACTCTCGATGAAAAATCCCACACGGCTTATGTCTGTTTACAGGTAAGGACTATTCTTTGTTTAAAATTTAGATATTTTAAAATGATCTAAATCGCGTCGATGCGGGCGTAAAAGCACGACATGTACCTATAACCTACTATTAACAAGTAGTTTGTTTTTTAGACACGGAACAGCTAACACAGAGACCTCCCTCCCCCCCCCCCAAAAAAAAAAAGAAAAAAAAAAGAAGAAAAGTGCCGTGATGACGCCTCAAACTAGACTGCAATCATCATCATCTTCAAGTGCCAAATCTACGACAGACATCGGCGATCACGGTTTTCCTTCCATTCATTTCTTTGCTCAGATGCTCTTTAAAAAGCTATATTGCCCTGATTTGGTCTCATCACCCATCTGTTTAGTCTCTCCAACTCCAAGTAGGTTGCCTTGGGCCTACACTTGCCTCGTTTGCCTTCACTTTTGCCAGTGAAAGCTAGGTGGTCAAAGCCTTTATGTCTTTTCATTTGTCCCAGAAACTGCATTTGTCTTTTCTTGATTGTTTTTATCAGCGAGCGGCCCGCGTTGGCTTATTCAAGCATTAGCTCCTTTTACAATAGTTTTATTTTTGTAAAGTAGGTGTTTCCACGTCCCCATCTAGACAGTTTCTATCATTTAGGAGGCGGGCTTCGGACTCTGTCTTGTAGAACCAATCCGGGCTGAGAGAGACACAAAATCCTGGCAGGAAGACCAAGATACATGATAAAAATTGTCCCCACTCGGATTTAGAACTCGGGTCTCCTGTGTGTGACAGCGAAGCGGCTTATAACCGCTACACCACAGACACATGTAAAGGTGAAAAATAGGAAAGGAAAGGGGGTGGGGGTGGGCAGAACAAATAGTAAGGAACGAAAGCTACAGAATTGTTATGATTTGGGGAGATCTAGTTGGAATCAAAAAGATCCCACTCGTGAGTATCAGTAATCAAACATCTATAATCTTTTCCTCTCCTCCTTTTTTTGTTACTTGCTCTCTAGAAACACCTTTAATCTTTGACGTTTATGCGACCTATTTGTGTTGCAAGAGCCGAATAACTCTTACCAAATACATAAATGAATAAATACATACATACATGAATATATAAACACAAAAAGAAATAAATAAACAAATAAACAAGTAAACAAATGAATACATTTTAACGGTTGAATGAATGAATGAATGAATACACAAATAAACGAATAAATAATTTAAAAATAAATAATAGACAGCTGTAATTGTTTGTTTCAGGAGAACAACGCGATCGCCGTGGTGGATCTGACGTCAGAGAACATCGAACATGTGTACGGTCTGGGGTTCAAACACTGGGGCCATTTCGATGCTAGCAACAAGGACCAAGGTTTCTCTTTGAATTTTGTTTTCACATTTTTGGGGTTGTGTGATTGTGTGTAACTGTAACGCTCGCTTACACTTGGACACATACACACACACGCACACACACACACACACACACACACACACACACACTCACACACACATGCACACATACACACAAACAAACAGATGGTTTTTATGATAAAACCTTGCTGAACTCACCGATAAATGTTCTCACGGACTTCAGCATTTTCCAATAGAATTCAACTCATTTTGAACACACGGTGTAGTAGAGATGTTTTACGTAGTTATAGCTGCGCTCGACACGCAAATGTTAAAGGAACAGACTATGTATGCCCCCTGACATTATTCTGGTTCACCGTGAAGGCACTCTTTGGCACCAAATGAAGAGCAAGGAGGGCAACAAAAGCCCGCACACGCGACTAGCGAAAGACTGGTGTTCTGCCCTTCCTTTGCGCGAGTGTCTTTGGTGTGGTTTGCTCTTTCGATCCCTTGAAACATCTATCGTCCTCATGTGCCTTCCTTCTTTTTGTGTCTGTTACCGTTTTGTAAATCTTCTAATCACTAGCAGTTGTGTGATCTTACTGTGTTGCAATTGTCGTAAAACTCTTAAATCCCCGTCCCCCGAGAAACAACAAACCCCTAAACAAGAACAAACACAAACAACTCCCCCCCCAAAAAAACCCACAAAAAAAAACAACAACAACAGAAAACCCCCCCAACCCAACAAACGAACGAAGTACTCCGAAACAAAACAAAACAAAACCACAAAACAACAACACCCCCCCCCCAAAAACCCCCACAACAACAACAACAACAAAACGACAACAACAACAACAAACAAACAAACAAACAAACAAACAAACAAACCAAAAACAAATGAAAAACACACACAAAAAGCCAAAAGAAGTTACCCTTTGTCTCCCCACCAGGTATCCAGATCTCCTACTGGCCTATCCGGGCCTGGTACCAGCCGGACGCCGTCCTGTTCTACACCTTCCAGGGGAGACGACTCATCTTCTCCGCCAACGAGGGTCACGCCAAGGAGTACTTGGACTTTGACGAGACAGAGCGAGGCAAGAAGTTGCAGAGTAAGTTGGTAGGGTACAGGCCACATACAAGCTCCTTTCATTTATCTTTGTCCTGGGCAGTCCTTCCAAGCTCGTTCCAAGTGAGCTTCATCTCTCTCATGTCCCTTTACACACATCTCCATATTTCCTGTGACCTACCCTTGCCTCGTGCTCCCTTTGGGTTCCACAGCAGCGACTCTCTTGTGATGTTTCCGCTGGGCTTTCTGAAGGTGTGTCCCATCCATCGCCACTTTCTTAGTCCTATTTCTTCTTCTATATCCTTTTGTAATGTCCTTTCCTACAGATCTTCTTTTCTTATCCTATCCTGCCTCATAATTCTTAGGATACACCTCATACATTTGTTGCTGAAAGTCAGGACTTTATTCCGTATAAGCGTTCAACTTAATACACTTAATTATAACTACCTCAGAATTACAAAGTTCTATCTGCTCACCACCTTGTTCTCAGAAATTTGACGACAAAATTTTTGAGTTTCATAACAAATCAAACTTTTCCGAATGCAGTTCTTTGAACATCTTGATAGCAACTTGTAATAATTTGACAATTTTGACAGAGCAGACAGAACGTTTGGTTTCTGATCCCATGGTCGTAGTAACTCAAAACGGCCAAAGATGTTAGATAGAGATTTTTAAATTCTAAGGTAGCGAATGTCATATTGATACATAATACACACACACGCACACACACACACACACACACACACACACAGAGACACTTGCACACGCACACACACACACACA